TTAAAAATAACGTTTAAAATAATAATAATAATAATAATAATAATAATAATAATAATAATAATAATAATAATAAAGACAAAGTTAATACGAAAAACTATATACCAAAAACAGAAACTCATCACATCATATGATCTATCCTGAATAAATAACTGTAGCTGTTTAACGTTTATGGGTATGCTCAGAACAACACTGATGTAAATCTTGCAAGTTATAATGCAGTCGCCAAATTTAATTTTACTATGACTGGCCCTAAGAAACTATTTGCAATATTGCCGCTTGCTAAAAAGCAGTGTCATTGAGTTATCTCTATTTTCGTCTACTTGAGCTGAAGATTTTTTTGCTGTAAGGAACTAAAGCAAAGAGATTATTAAGGCTCTGGTTCTCACTGGACCAGTTGTCAGGTTGATTTCCTCGCCTCTCAGGAAAGAGTAAGCGTGACTTGCTTTATGGGAGCTTTGTAGTAAAGTCGAAGTAGATTACTGCGTGCATAAAATATAGCAGATGTAGTCAGGAGGCCAGTATGAAACATAAGAAATAAGGTTTAGGCAGCTCTGCTTTTGGAAAAGAATGTTTTCTCCACGTTGCAATAACTGATGCCTTATAGCAAAAGTGTTAGAAAGTCGTGATAACAACGAATACTATGACAGAGACGTTCCTTTTATGCACATGGCTCAAAAAGATACTCTCAGCACATAAACAAACGGCTCACTGTACCGTTGAATGTTGAGCATGAGACCCAGGTGCACTGAAGTTTAAACTCCTGCCCTCGGCCGAGTTGGGTTGTGTACGAATCATCAGTTTATATCTAAAACGAGGTTTTATGCGTTGAAACTTACCCTGGCCATATTTTATGCTTTCAGATATATGACACTTACAAAGCCAGTCTTTCGGCTTTAAAATCCAACATGGAATCTCACGGATTTACGTCGTCTGACAAAGTCAACGAGACCTTAGATGACATTCAGGAAGTATGTGGCAGTCAGTGTCCTTCGTCAAGTTTTCGTAATATTCGTTTCATGCAGATGTTGGACGTCAGTAATGAAATAAGCGCTGCCTTCGATCAGCTCTCGCCTACTACGACAGTAGCGGACGCAGAGCTAGAAGATGAGTTGAACACACTGATGGCCGAATCATTGCCTGCAAGGTTGCCAGTGCCAGGTAGTTACTCTATAATTACGGCCTTCGTGATGTTCTGTACATTACAGCCCTTTTAGAAATGTCCCTTCCAAGCGTGCCGTCGGAACCATTGGAGGAAATGGACGAAATCACCGCCCGATTGACAAGACTTCGACAACGTGTACAACCAACGCAGTAATTTCATCTGCTTGTTCAGTATCCGGTGATACAAATGCAGTTGTTTTAAGACTTTCTTTTTTTGTGCCCCTAATCAGTTTATTATTTTGTACTAACGTTTCTGATAATTTTTCATTATTTTATAAACTTTGTTAGGCCCCTTGTTTTTCCAAACAACATTAGGAAAGGGGCGCGATAGTTCGACAAGCGATCCAGTACTGAGTTTGAAGGTAAAAAATGCGGTGTAATGAACTTAACCTTGCATGACTTCTTAAGGTGTAGATGGCCATTTAGTTCACTTTCCGGATCGATGTTGGATAAACTAAATGCACCTCTGTTTTGTTAGGAACACTTAAACAAAATTTGTGTTTAAAGAATTTCCAAACGTAATTCAGTGTGGAACTCTTCTTCTTCATCTTCATCTTCCATCACCGCTTTTTCTTTTGGGTCGCGGAGGCAGACGCGTCAGACAGTGCTTCCAACGTTCCCGATCCTGTGCCAGAGTCTGAG